GCATCAGACAAATAAATCTACAATATAATGAATCCATAATAAGTTCTCAGGATATACAATTCATGGACGGACCCACATGGGGTCAGGTGATCTCCCCCCTTTTTTTCAAAAATTTCTTGTTCTAGTTTATTCGCCGACTTATATTTTTGCGTATTTTATTCATTTTTAGTGTTTCGAAAACTCAAGTATGCTTTGACATGATAGAAACTTGGGACATTAGACAAGGCTAGAAGAAGACACTCGAGGGCCAATGACTAAAGCCTACCGCTCTTGGAGCGCCATTCGAGCATACTTAATTTTTGACCCCACAGTAGAAAATGTCTGGCTCCGTCCCTGATACAATCCATGTATCCATTTTACCGCATCAAAATATCGCTCGTTCCTCTGCCTTATCAAACTATATCAAATTTACCCTTGGAAGGATATTAGAAACAGATAAAATAAAAATAAAAATCCCATTATAATGCGACAGAACCACCATAAACTTTCATCTCTCATGTTTGGCAACAAAAAGTGACCATCAAGTTCGCTGAACACAGGTTACAGTGCTACAATTGGGTTCTCGCAGGTGGAACAGATTAGGTGCAACCATATTGATTAAAGGGTTTTGCTGAACATTGTCAAACCATAATGAGTGTGTACCTGCGTAGTGTATATACTCTCGGCTCTTGCGGGCCTGTTATAATCCTCGTTCCCTTCAAGAAGCACAGATTTTCTTTTCAAGTTCCTGGTAGCAAACACAAGTCTGAATGAAATGGGCTCAGAAACAGGTCAGTAATAGATAGAAAAATAGAACTTACTTTCGTCCTCGCTTCTTGTGGGCTCTTCTAAGGATAATTTTCCTTAGAAACGACATTATTGTAACCTACAGAAAAGTTTCAGGTCAATAAACAAACAGAAAAATAAAACCTGTTCACGAAAACCTATTCCACGCCCTACTTTAGAGAGAAAAGCAAAAGATCTTTTTGGAAAAGGTTAATCAAGTGACAGAAACAAAACATCTTTTAACGAACACCCAGAATCACCCAGTAAACATCGTTTAGAAGACGCGGTTAAGAAAAATTAAAAGAAAACGGGATGAAAGAAACAGAAAGAATACGATTCACGAACCTCTCAAACACGGTAAAAAAAGAATTGCATAATAAAATACACTGAAAAAGTATTAATCAACTAAAGATGAACTCACGCGGAAAGATGAATTTATCCAACAGCAAGAAAAACACGGGGGTTGCTGAAGGCACTTTTTCAAGCTTCGAATTGGGTTTTCTCGGCCGTGGAAACTGGATTCTGAAGATTGAAATTTAGGGGTAAGGAATTTGGGTTACTATAAATAAGTGAAATTTTCACGCGTAACCCCAGTACAAAAGGATGAGATAATTCCAACACTAACACAATTGTAATAGTTATAGAATTCATATTTAAAAACTAAAATAAAATAAAATAAGATCTACTCATGATCCTCACGTAATATGTGATAATTGTGTTGTATATTTGGAGGAATTATTCCAAAATCCTTGTTGATTATATTGAAATTGTTGTAAATAATATATTTATTAATGAATGAGAATTATGTCTATGTAATCATAGTAATTAATTATTGTCATTATATCTCTAATTTTTTTTTTTTTATAAATATGGACTATGGTCCTCAATAAAAGTCAAATAAATCAATTAACTTTTCACTTTTTTTTTTCTTTTACTCTCTAGTTTATGAGACATTAAGCAAAAGCTTTTTTTTTTAAGTTAAAAAAATTATAAATATAATCACGTGTACCGAAATTAATTTGATAACATGTGAATTTTTTTTAATTTTGTTTACACATGCATTATAGTCGTGTATTTGTTTTTGTGTTAGTTCATATAATTAAACAAATACATGGTAGAGGTTTTATGCATAGCTTCAAAATAGGGTTGGACATGGTCTGATTTGTTCGATTCTAATTAAAATTGAATCGAATTCGAAATTTTTAGGTATTTAATAAATGGAATCGTCGGGTCCAAATTTACACAATAAAATATTATATGCATCTATCAAAAAAATTTCTATACTTTTCAACCACACATTTTCCTAAAAATACTATTCAAATCTCCTTTTTTTCCCCTATCAATGAGAATCACACAGGCTCAAATTAAGACATTTTGAATTTGTAACCAAACAATTTACTTGACATCTGCACACGACACTTCAATGATCAATTCACTACACTTTATTTGTGCACACGGTACTCATGACACGATCTATTCATTTAAATCGCAATGCTAAACTGCTAAAATCAAAGTACTCAAATGTTAAATCATTCAAATCATGACGTCTTGAATATGGTATAGTAGATTACCCACTTTTTAACACCATATTGCTTATAAGCAATTATAAAATTTCATAAATATGCACTAAAAACTTCCTTTTAAGAATCCGTGGGTGTATATAACTAAATTCTTGGGAACATCTATTCACACCAGTCATTGCAAATAATCTGATTTCTGAATCTCTCTACGTTTGTTGATCAAAAGATGCCGCTCGGAACGCTTGAGGTTCTTCTTGTCAGCGCCAAAGGCCTCGAGAACACAGATTTTCTATGTATGTTTGTTTAATCAAAACCCCATTTTCAATTTATTTTGTTAGTGCTTGTGCGTGTGATTTTTCGATTGACTAACAATATGCTAATTCTGTTTAACGTGGTCGGGTCGTGTTTAAAATGCGATTTAGGTCTGATTTTTATATTTTCTGTTTCAGATTTCGTGTTTAGTGGATCAGCTTTGCTATTCTTTCAAAATGCATTTGGTTTTTGCAAATTTATTATTGGATCTGAGAGAATCTTGAGAATGGGCAATCATGATTTTCCTGGGATTGTTTTTGTTTGATCGCATGCTATGATATATTCATCTGTCTTGTCATTAATGGATACCTCCACCTGAGAGATCAGATCGGTCATTAGAAATTGGCATATTTCTTGTTGGGTGATATCACCATTAACAAACGAAAACTAAGAAAAAAAACAGAACATATATGTGTGTGTGTGTGTGTGTGTGTGTGTGTGTAAAACCCATTAGCATATTACGCTGATTAATAAAACAATGGCTTCTTAGGACTGCCATAAAAACCATGGCTCCTTAGTCCTTATTTGACATTATGTATGATGTTTAAGTTTCCCTATACTTGTGATCTAAGAAACAAGGACACGACAAGGACACGCCAACGCATGATTTATTAGAAAGAAGGACATGAACAATGTAAATTCATAAAAATTACAACAATGCTACTCAAACACGGAAGTAAACAGGGGCATTGATAGATGCTGAGTTGTCAACACCTATATTGGTTTCTTTAAACTGTCCAATAATGTTGCGTCGTGTCCCCTATTTTTAAAATCTGTCATTGAACCTATTACTGTTGCATAACTCTAAAAATTATTCATTGGTTTATTAATCTATATTTTTTTGTTTTATTAAATGAATCAGACCTTTTGAGTGTCTATTTGATATATTATGATAACTTTTGACTTAAAATGTATTTTATTTGTTAATTTATTATTCAAAAAGTTATGAAATGGAACTTGTGCTTCTCCTTGATGTATAGAGATGTTCATTGGTGTTAGGATAGTAAAGAATATGAACAAAGTTAAGAGAGTGTGCCCCTTAACCGTATATACAAAAGTGAGAGTGATATAGAGTGTCGAATATATGTCTTGGAGTGTCTGAGTAGTTCAGTGTCCAACACGGACATGTCATCTTAGTAGGAGTGTTGTTCTTTAAATTTCTTAGACCCTAGGCTAGTAAAGAACGATATCCCATCTGTGTTCTCTAAAAATTGCTATTCCTCATATTCACACATATTTTTAGTTATTGCAAGGAAAAATTGGTGTTATACTTCTTTATTATCGTTATTTTTTTGTTTTTTTGGTCGGCTTCCACAATTACATGTTAATCCAATAGGTTTATTAGGAGTTGCGTCCAAAGTAAAGCCATGAATCTGCATTCACAAAAGATATGTGTAACAGGGCAAGGAATGATATTTCAATGTGTTGTTTTGAAGTTCTGCTCCTTGTATGTTTTAAAGATGTTGATATGCCAGATGAAGAATGATACATAAGGAGTTTGCTCTTCCTCTTGGCAGCTAACATGGACCCTTATGCGGTCCTCACTTGCTGGACGCAGGAGAAGAAAAGTAGTGTTGCATCAGGTGCATTTTAATTTGACGTACATGTCAATTATATACCAAGATACTAATAAAGTTAAAAACTTGCACTTAATTTCCTCTTTCCTGCTGCAAATTTCAATGTTTAAATTATCACGAGGATTGAGAATAACGTTTTACGAAAATATTTTGTTCTGTGTAATTGAGTGAATTTGTTTCCTACTAGTTAAGTCTTCAATTTGTCTATAAGCAGGTAAAGGAACTAACCCTGAATGGAATGAAACCTTCCTGTTCACCGTCTCTGATGGTGTTGTGGAATTGAAAATCAAATTAATGGATAAAGATAATCTCAGTGGAGATGACTTTGTTGGAGAAGCAACGTGAGTAATCCTTTCTTGTTTATGCATAAAAATGTCAAATTATGTTTTAGTATATTCGTAATTTTTGTTGGTTTTGCTGTTTACTTGACTTTACTACAATTTTGAGAATTTTCAGTTTGGAAGACTGCTTTTATAAACGTTTGACATTCAAGCTTAAAGTAATTTTCTTTCCTTGATTATGTAGGATTCCTTTAGGACCGGTATTGGCTGAAGGTAACATTCCGCCAACTACGTACAATGTTGTCAAGAATGAGAACTACTGTGGAGAGATTAAAGTTGGTCTCGTGTTTAATCCCCACCAGGTTATTACAGCCCTACTCTGATAATTTGCTTCTCATTGTTTCTTGCTGCTAACAGAACCTAGAGATGACAAAAAGGGCAGGCTCGTCTAGAGCAGGGGGCTGGGTCTGGCTCTCCAAGCCTATGAGGCAGCCAATGCTAAACCATTTTTCTATAGAAAATTTTAATCAAAAAGAATTAAACAAACAAGTTGTATCATGGTGGCCTTCCCAGGCTGGGCCCGACCTTGTATATTTTGGAGACTGGGCCTCGGGGTGGCTCATATTGTGCCTCACCAAAGGTTTTCAGCCTGATTCACGCCTTCCATAAAAGATTATAAAGAGTACGGGTTAGGTCATGTCATGTGAAATTAAAATGCTTTTACACAAAGATAACTAGTTAGGTCTAATCCCCACATTCTTATAAGTAAATCTTCAAATTTAGCTGCTCCCGAATAAGAAAGCTCCTCTTTATGATAAACAATCTATTTTGCAGGTTTGTAATTACGGGTAGTTCTTACAAAGGATTGTACTAGACGTACATAATACTCTAATTATTCTTTATTTAGTTCAGATTATTCATATACATAAATTCCAAAGCATACTTTTTACGACAAGGGCGAATAGCATAAAAAAAGGGCTCTGACTTAGAAAATATTTCTTATTGGCAGCAAAGCAGAGACAGGGGATTTTCTGAAGAGGAGACCTTTGGTGGATGGAAACAATCAGCCATGGAGTAATTTTCTATTTATGTTTATGCATTAGTATTTCTCGATTATGAACTGTTTTTTTACAAGATTATATGGCTACAAATATTTGTGTTTACATTGTGATTGGGATTTTGGATTTGATCCAATATGTTTGGAAACTTGTCTATTCCTTTGTTGTCTCTTTTAGTTTTGAAAGTTACAAAGAAAGCCCTAGTATGTGTGGAGGATGGCGGAGCTTATGAAGACAACTTTCTTCTTGAAGTTGGACGAAAGAGCTCGGCTAAACTAAATAGAATGCAATATGACCCACGAAGGTAAATTGCTCGATGTTAGTGTGTCACCCATTTCAGTAGGCCATACGCCTAATAAAAATCGAGGGAGCACATGCTAAGTAGGATTTGCACCAGTGTCTATAACCCCTCCATTCATTCGATTACGGGTAAGTGCAAATCACTCATATTACTAAACCTTCCTTGAATTTGCATAGAGGAATGGCAACTAACTTGACCTTTAGAGCCGAACATATCATTCCTGACATTCGGTGCTTGAGCTCAGCTCACTAACCTACAGCTTTAGCGAATTTTTCAAGATTTTATAGTTCACGAAATTAAGACTATATGCGAACTTTCTCGATTCTGGATATGGATGGTGAAAATTCGCATTTCATTATGCTCTTTCTATAGCTAACACCAAAATGAGAACTTCCTGAAATCCTTGTACTTAAGGAATTTTGTTTCAATCGTTCTATGTATAAATTCAGGTTGACACCAAAGGCTTGTTTTGTATAGAGACGAGTGAGGCCCACACCTCAGGCCTAACATTAGAGGGAGCCTCAAATTTTAGAATCTTCCATTCTTCTTCTTCTTTTCTTTTTGGTAAATTAGGTTCATTACAATTTTTTTATTAAAAATTTGATAATTATTCCCATTCCATTACATTTATAAATGGGGACCAATAATGTTTTTTCATTAGTGGGAATTTTATTTCTAAATTATGCCCATTTCAAATTTAGCACAACGGGACAAGTGACTTACGATTTCTCAAACTCATGTTGCAGTGATTTCTTAATTCTGCTCAATTTGTTCATCATATAGATAACATTCGATTTATTTGTTTAAAATATGAGACAATTTACTTGATTTGGCAGAAACTAATGAAGATTCTAAAACAAAATATGAAATCGAGTTCTCATAGACATATGAACTCTAGAATTTTGAATTCTTGCTTGGCATAGTAATTTAGTACATGTTGTTGCATGTAGTTAATATTATGAATAAATTTGTTCAAATCGAAAACATGGATATTGATAGTGCTATCGATCTTTTACAATGATTTGTTTCATTTCTCGAAGATCGTAGAGAAATTGAATTTTTTATTGTCATTAATAAATTGTCCAAAAGGCAAGTAAAATGGGAATTGGAATTGTACTCTTAGAACAATGTATAATTTGAAGAAATAAACAATTTGATAAAAGTAGTAGTGATGAGGTAAATCAATTGGTCGAAAAATCTTTTATAGTTGAATACTTATATTTAATCAAGTTTTATCTTCTTTAAGATTCGATTTGAACAATTTAAACATTATGAAGAAATATCTACATTTTTACTAAATTTGAAAAAGTTAAGGAGTACAGCTTTTTCAATTTGTTAAAACCTTTTATATGAATATTGAAAAATATTTGAAACATAATGGACATTCGAATATTTCAATGTTCTAAAAAACATAAAGTGTGGCTAAGCGTGGAGTCCAAGCTTCAAAAGCCTTAAGAGCTTAAGCGAGTTTAGACGAGGTTTAGGTGTAAAAAAAAAAACGTTTTCTTATTTATAATATTATTTTAAAATTTTAATAAATTTTAAAATTATTTAATAATTAAATATTAAATATCTAAAATTATAAAATATAATATTTACTTAATCATTTCTATCATTAGTCAATTATACAATTTTCAAATTTTTGAAATGTAAAAATTAGAATTTCTTCAAAGTTTCAATTTTCAACTAGATAAGTACTACTTAATAAATTTATAAGAATTTCATACATGTTTTTGTAATTTGTAATAAAATGAGTTCAAGATCATAATTACATAATATAGATAATATCATAATTTAAATCTTATTTAACTATTTAGATAAAGTCATTTTTTACTTTGTACAGATAAAATCTTTTAAAAACTTGAATTAAAGTTAAATGAAAAGTTTTTTGTTAAAAAAAAAAAAAAAAGAAATAAGCTAAATTCAAAAATAGACTTTTTTTTAAAAAAAAAAAAAAAAGTAATAAGCTAAAGTCAAAAATAGACTTTTTTTTAAAAAAAATCAATAAAGCGCGTCTACGGAAGACGAAAGAAATTAAGGAAAAATTCAACCATTTAGGAATTAGAAGAAAAAAAAAAGCGTTTAGGCACGAAGCGAGATATTTTGCTTGAGCTTCGAGCCTAGGCGGTGCCTAGATGAGCTTTTTAGAATATTGATATTAATGGAGATGATTTATATTTTGCGTCACATGTCTCGATGTGCTATATATCAAGTAAAGCAATGAGAACAATTAAAATGCAACAATATTTGAAGACATTCCAAATGCTTGTAGTACTTACAAAATTTTGTTAACCATACCTTATCTTCGATTAACTATATCACATAAAATATTGAATGGATTGACTATGTTATCAATTGAGAAAGAGATTGTTGAACAGGTAGATTATTCAAATTTGATTAATATTTTTGCATCTAAAATCACAAGATGAATAATATTTAGCTGATCGTTTGAAACATTATCGACTTTGTTATTTGGTTATAATATAATCTTTTGTATAATACGTTTTATTTGTTATTTTATTATTAAGGTTTAAATTGACAAGTTAATTATTGATTCTATAATACACTTAAGACTTTACACGCATACTAAAATTTTTGGATCCAGTTTATGAAATTTGATTTAGGGCCCGAAAATTACAGAATCGGTATTGTTGGCACTCTGGATGACACGCTCTCACATGGGGTTTGGGCATCCCCCACCCAATGTAGGTTGTGTCATGAGTCGGAAGGGTATACATAGGTCTCGTTTGGAAGCGATTTTGAAAATTGATTTTTTAATCGTTAGGAGAAAAGTATGGACCACCTGTCAAAGGAAAAGTCAAACTTTACTGCTCAAATAGTAAAAATAACGATTAAAAAAAATCAATTTTTTGGAGGTGAAAAATCACTCCCAAATGAACCCATAGCATTTTTGAGTTTGTAGCTTGGCACGCATTACACTTGGAATTTAATGATGCAAAACACAATAAATAACTAGATGACAATTGAAGAATCCTATTTTTGTTCTACTGGTGGCATCTTCCACTGAATCAGAGCTGGTCTTGAGGCGAGGCAGATGAGGCCTGCGCCTCAGGGCCAAAGCTGGAAGGGGGCCTCACTTTGGCTTTTTTTTTTTTTTTTGCGCAATTAAATGAGAAAATTGAAATCTCTCCACCGACTACAGTCTCCAGCTCGCCTCTCCTCTTGCATGGAGATATATGGGACGGATCCACAATTTTTTTCCTTCACTAACCGCGAGCGTCATTTCTAGCTACAAAGCTAGAGGAAGAGGGGAGGAAGATGATGAAATTTTGAAATTGGGTCTTTTTTTCATTTTTAAGTTTAGGCCTTTTTGTTTGGGCTGATGAGTTGGGCCTCTCTTTTTTTTCTTTTTTTTTTCTTTTTGTCAAATATTAGACCCAATCCATGGATATATACCCATTACTCACACATGACACAGCCACACCAAATCCAAATGGTGACAAATCGTAGCAAACCTTTCAGTTCTTCTCCTTGCTGTCGATGATTTGCCTGCTGACGACTCAGACTTGCTGGTCGTTGCTTCTGCCGATGAGAGATGAGTCACCGTCGACACCGATGCCAACGCCAACCTTAACCTTTCCAAATTCCAATTTCCGATCTACGACTCTAACTGTGTCCGTAGGCGCCTCTCTTTTCTTTCTTTTTTTTCGATTTTTGTTCTGTGTTCTTAGTTACTTTTGTGATCTTTGTTCACACTTCACATTAACTGATCAACACATAATTCATTTTTTATTTCTTATTTATATTATGATTATGAGTTATGAATTATGATTTATGTTTTAAGAGTTATGATTGAGAAATGAGAATTGTGAATATGTTTTATGATAAATTATTTTTGAGTTATGATTTATCATTTATCATTTAAGTTTTGTTTTGTAGTTTTGCCTAGAGTGAAATTATTTTTAGTAAGGCGTGTTTGTCAAAAATTAGTGAAAATAATTTTTGTGTGTTTCAACTTCCAAATTCAACAATTTGATGTCGGAGCTCGACATCACAGTCACATCTCGCCTCTATGCTCCAACCGGACCGACGATGGCGACGACAACCACTCCCCTAGGTAGTGATTGGTTATCGTAGGATCAATTGCGACCTGGTGGCTTATATGATTGGTTATTATACGATCAATTGCACATGCGCACGTGATAACTATATTGAAACTTTAATTGTGAGATGATTGAGATATTTTGTAATTATCTGTTATGATTGAGATTGTTTAACTGATTTTTTGAAATATTGTTGGTTTTGTCATTTTATAATATAAAATTTTTTATAATATGTTTTGTTTGTTGTTTTATTATTTAGTTTTAAGTTAACAATTGGTTGCATAATACACAGTTAAATTTTGTATTAATGTTGACTTTGGGGGCCTAATTTACGAAGTTCGCCTTAGGCCCTGAAAATCACGGAACCGGCCCTGCACTGAATGACTTGATTTAATATATCCCTCTTGAGGTAAAGACACCTGTTCAAGATTGAATTACTTTCTTAACAGCCAAATTAAGCGTGGAAAATTTTAGTCTTATAACTAGAGATTTTGCTGGGCATTTGCTCAAACATTACTTCTGTGTTTAGACAATGAATTATTAGATACATTTTCTTCATAAAGATTAAGGTGTAGATGTTTATTCATGGACATGGAGCCCCTTTTCGTCTACCATTATATAAAATGGTTGTACTACATCAAAAGGTTTACTTGTTACTAATCTAATCTAGCCATTATTTGGTTAAATTCCTTGTTTCAGTCTGACGACATTATCATCATATCAATGCTGAGGAAATGAATGCATTTTCATACTATTCAATTTTTAAGTATTAAGTGAAATAGATAAATATTATGTTTTAGTTTATCCATTTCACTTATTATAAGTATACTGGATGTTAAGGAGCTGCTCATATACAACATGAGTTAGTTATTATCATAGAAAAAATAGTACATCACAACTTACAGGTTGGTATACATGTGGATGATGTGGTGAGACATGATTTGATCAAAATTTCTCAATCAAATAAGAAATTTTCTATAACTCCTTATGTACAAGTAGAATCATTCTGTATAAAAACTCTTTTTTCTCTCAAACTCATTTTCAATCATGAATTTTCTCAATAAAATATTTTGAATGTTTCTTACAAACTTATTCTTATTTTTTAATCACACATTTAAAAAAAAAAATCACTATTTCAAAATCATTTTTTTTTCCAAAACACCCATTTCAACGGAAGACAAACAGGGCTGAATAACCATATGAGGTGCAGAAATCTTGAATAGCACAAAGATTTAGCACTGGAATAGGAATGGAAATCATATGTTTGTAGGTTAAATGTCTGTTTTCGACTTGTTGAATCCACCATCTTTCGACTATCAAAAACTACTTGTCATAAGGCATGAGTATGTGGTCAAGGATTGTGTTTGGCAAGATTTACATTGTGTCACACACGAGGCACTCTTACATGTTAAAGTCAGACATTCTCATTAACCCAAATAAATAAATAAAATTTATCATTTAACATTTTCATATAAACAGCTTCTCATATACATCAATTTTATTAAGAGTCTGGGAGTGATCCCCCCCCCCCCCCCCCCCCAAAAAAAAATTGATTTTTTTGACCGTTATTTTATTAATCCAACCGTCATATTTGACTTCTTCTCTTACAGGTGAACCTCACTTTTCTCCTAATAGTCAAAAAATCAATATTCAAAATCACTCTCAAACAGACTCTAAATATATTTATAAATCAAAATAGTGGATCAACTTGTTACATCCTTAATAGAGTAAAAATATAATAAAATCTTGCGTACATTCATATAAGCAACTGAATTATTTCTAACTCTTACTCGTGAAATAATATTCTATTTTATAAACCTTATTTTCCAAATAATTCACTTAGGCTCCGTTTGATTCGCCAAATTTTCCATGAAACTTGGAATTCAAATTCCAACTTTCACTTTTGGCCTATTTGATTGACAAAATTTTCCAGGGAATTCATTTTTCATGTAATTTTAGGTACAACACCGTAAAGCGTGATTTTCCACCTTTTATTTTCCTAAGGGATTGGTGGTTTTTGGTTTTCCACTTTTTTCTTTTTTTGCTTTTTTTTTTAATTGTTGGTATTGAGAACAAATTTTAGGAACAATTGTAAAAGATGATATACCTGAAATTGACAATTTTCATGTAAAACAAAGCCAAACGAACACTAAAATATAGATGATTTTTTGATTTTTTTTTTGCAATGGAAACAAATTCTAGGAACAATGGTAGAAGTGAATATCCCTTAAATTGACAATTTTCATGTAAAATAAAGTCAAACGAATACCAAAAAACACTTTTACTTCAACATTTTCCACGTGGAAAATTATATCAATCAAACACAATAATTTACAATTCCCAGGAAAATAATTTCTAGATAATTCAATTTCCTGAAATTCATTTTATTTTCACCCAAATTTTATCTTCGCAATGAAACAGACCCTTAGATGCAATCCCTTTCTTAACCTTGTTTGCCAAATCGGGTTCGCCCAATTTATTAAACGGGTAATCTGAATGTTTGGTGGGCCATTTGCGCGGTCCACGTACAACCGAGAGAAATATAGAAAGTGAAACTTCTCCAGAACGAGAAAAAAATTCACCTTCGTCGATTAACGAGAAACAGTAAGTTTGCGTTTCAATTTATTCGGGGGAAAATCAGGTGAAAAATGAACTTATATCTATATTTAAATTTTACATTTTCGGTTGTCTTGATCTCTACTTCGTAGCTGGAAAAAATCCGAGGAATGAAATGTAAATTCATAGTTGTCTATAATATTTTTGAAATGTAAATTCATAGTTATCTATAATTTTCTTTTTCTTTTTTTATTCAGCTGCGCCAAACATGTAAATCGTTTGAGAATTATGAATAAAATTTTCTGTTGTACTGTCGCGTTACTTTTGTGTTCTCTGTTTATTGTAGGCTGAATTTAATTTTCATACAACAATTATATCATGTTTGTGTTCTCTTGCTAAAACCTTCCTCTCGATTAAATAATTATTTGTGCTGATATATACTCGTTCTTAACAAGGTATTAAGTGTGCAGTTGAGCGTGGGTGAAAATTTAAAGCTTGAATTTTTTTTTTGTTTTAGCAGTTAATTTTCGTTATATTGTTGTATTGTTTTTGTGTTATTTGTTTATTATAGGATGAACGGAAGTTCGTATATCATGTTACCATTAGCTGTCGTTCAGAGTTTTGTTGCTAAAACTTCCTTACGATTAAATGATTTAATGTGTTTTGGCAATGTGTTAAGTGTGCAATTGAGTGCAAGGCTTGAATTATGTGTTTTCTTTAACGATTTATTCATAAATGGATTCTTTTTGTATTAAAGCTTGATTTATGTTTTGTTTATCATATATGATTTCTATTAGCACTTTAGTTCCTTCTGTATATGGTGATTTTGAATTAGTTAAGTGTAATAACAGATTTGTGTATGATGCAATAATGAAAAATTTGTTATACATTTTTGAAATTGATTGAATAAAGCGTTTTCTTTTATTTTACATATTTTAAATTGAAATGAAAATTCACGTATGTGGATTTTTTATAGTTGTTTTACTGATAAGACATTTCTTTCTTGTTTTTCCTTCTTTTAGAAGTACTTTGTTTTCCAGTTGAACTCGGTAATTCATCATTAGATTTGAGATTGAAAGATGCTGATGGGGCATGCTGAGGGTCTACCAAAGCTTGAGTCAGCAAAAGATTTGTTGCTCTCTGACCCTGTGTCTGAGCTGGATGGAGATGAAGAAGCTGATATTCCTTCACAAATTCTATACACGGCTTCATTTGAAGAACTAGCATCAAAGAATATACAGTACGATACAATAATATGGGTCTCAATATCTCTACTGCTTGTCTTAGCATGGGGGATTGGGATCATCATGTTGCTTTATTTGCCTTTTAGAAGATGGGTGATTAAGAAGGATATAGCATCACGCGAGCTCTATGTTACATCGAAAGAAATAGTTTACAAGGTTCTTCATCTTCTAATGAATCGATTTTACATTGTTAACTTCACCTTCAAGAGTGAAATTAATAATCTGGAGCTAAAGTATGACAGCTTTCTTCATTTCTAGGTGTCAAGGCCTTCATTTATACCCTTTTGTGGAGAAAGGAAAATTGAAAAGCATGTACCTCTATCATTGGTTATCGATATTATTATTGAACAAGGTAGTATAACTTTCATGGTTCTCTTTTAACCAATGAGTTTTACCATTATTTTATTCTTATGTCCTAAATGGCTTCGTTTGAAATATCCACGCGACTCAATTTCCTTGTCTTGTCATTTCCTGATGAGGAATGACCAACTGTGATAATTGAAGCGATACAAGGTTTTCAACTTTATTCCACCTTTCTAATAATTAGACATTACCCAACTGCAATATTTTGCTCTACAAAAAATTAGACGTGAGGTGATATTGTTGCCATGATCAGTAAGGCCTTTAGACATCTGTGACAGATTAGCATGATTCGTTAGCTCCCACATATACAATGCATCCATACCAATCTAATGCAGGTTTTCCTCTCATTAATGAAATAGACTCATGCATTCGAATAGCAGACTGCAAATTTTTAGAAGCATAATGTGATGATATTGTAATTGTTCGCAACAAACCCCTGTAAAGTTACTCCTTTTCTTCAATTAAGTTTTTTTTCCCCTCTGTGGAATCATGTGGAAATTGGATCCTTTTATCTAGTGAATAACAGGTACAAGCAATTTCCTAGATTTTGCATGGGTGCTTTGGTTTTGTGCAGAGAGAAGATAAAACATCAGGAGAGTTAGTTAAGTCTTCAAGTGGAAAACCTGCATTTTGAGCATATTTGACTGTGAGCTAGATTAGATCTTAAATTCTCAAGTTTCAGAAAAATGAAATAAACTATTAGTGCACATGTACATTTCCAGAACAGATGTGCACACCCTTGTCATGCCCCTTTTTGTACAACTTACGTGTGCACTGGAAGTGTGAGTACTTTGTTGTGAATTTGGTCTAATTAAATAGGTATATCTTGTTTCCTTGTACTCATTTGCCACTTTTTTTTTTTTTCTCCTTTCCTCTCAAAACGAACATATGGAGTCACATACCTTTATTTATGTGCAGGTTTCTTGCAGTCATTGTATGGAATTCATACCTTTAGAATTGAAAGTATAGCACATGGTAAAGCTGCACCAGTTGATGAATTGCGGGTTCAAGGGGTTTATAACCCTGCACTTCTGAGGAAGGTAGTTCTTAACATGATTCCAACTTTATCATGTATCTTTTGGCAATATCATCAGAAGTAATGAATTACACTAAACATACCAGTGATCTATCTTTTGCCATTTGATAACACCAAGTGTAATGCTTAAAGAATTTTGATGATATGCAGGTTGTCGTAACAGAGGCTTCAAAGGCCATACAAAATGTTGGCAATAGTTGGAATCTTAATTCTCAAATTTTGGATATGGGATGCTTGGTTCGTATGGATTCTCTAACCTTGGGTCCAGCTGTTTTGAGATCTCCATCTACAGGCTGGAAGGTAAATATTAAAAAGTAGATTTTTGACCTTGTTTAGAGCTGGATATCTGATAAATGGCTAGTCGAAACGCAATACTTGCTTCAAGATGCCTGTTTTATAATGGACATTTTCAAGTCTAGTACCTATAGAGTCCCTATGATCGGTCATTGTGAATTATTCTTCACCGCTATATATCAAAGAAGAAAACAGAAAGCAAATCTCAGATGCCTAACAAACTTCTTGTTTGGACAAGCATGTAATAGTGCTCCTGAACCCTTGGGTGCAAAAATTATTGAAACCCACTTACCTGTCTCGCCATTTTTCTCTATCATGAAATATGGTCCTGAATGGGGTTTGAAGACCTGGCAGGATTGATAAAATAGCCATCTGTAGACCTCTATGGTCATTCCTTCTAAATTTTCAACATCATAATCTGCATGGTTTTATACCACAAATTCTGTAATTTATTTTCTTCTCCTGCCAACCCTTTCCAAGAACATTGAACTGAAAAATTCACACATTTTATGTTGGATATGGAGCTCTTGCTCACTTAAGTGAAGTTTGGCGTACATTGGTTATTCATGATTGTACCAATTGCCCTGTTATTTGGGTTACTCTTACCAGATTAATGTTGAACTGTACCCTTGCTCAAGTTGCTTTCAGTGATTTTTTTCTTTTTCAGTTCTCATAGTAATTCTAAGAAGTACATCGTGCTCTATTGAAAACAAATTATGAAGAATGGAAACAGTTTTATATTGTGCTATATATCTGAAGAATGTTCCCTTCACTGTATTATCGATCAACAAAATCAGTTACAAAAGTTTGCGTTCCTGTGTTTCCAGAATCTCATGACAGGATCTTGAAGATCGATAATTCATTTTCTTGACTTCAAGATTAATGTCATTTAGAAGATATAATTTGCCATAATAGGTACTTCATTCTTCGAGAGCCAGGGGTTTCAGTCAGTGGATCATCTCTTTTTGCTTGTATAGTGATCACACAGTGCCCTTCGTATAGTTCAATGATATAATTAAGAGAAGTGCAGACGATATTTTTTTGGGGGGCGTGTGTAGGGGGAAGGGTACCTTTGTTATTTCTAGGGAGTTTTCGGTTATCACTTATCAGCTCTGTAACTTGCTCAGTTCCACATGTCCATGGTCTTAACCAAAGAGCATAGGAAATATGCTATCTGATTATCTAGTATGAGGATGGAGGAATATGATCATTCTTACAGTTGTCTTGCCCATCTTTTTGTTCTTTACAAAAGTATGCTAATTTGACACGTAATCTGTGCTCTATGTTTTCAGGGGATTGGTTGAAAAACATTCTTCAACTTGTATGCATATGTTGGTTTGTGATTGAAGAACACAAAAATCATCTTGCATCATATCTTTTCTTTTCTTTTTGGTGTAAGAAGTGTTTCTGATCTGTTCACTTTACTTCTATCTGTTATGCAGACAATGAATTCTCCTCCCCATTCTTTGGTGGACAACAGAGGCATTGTACCCTCGGATTTGATGCTTCACAAACTTGAAGAAGTTAACAAGTCAGTGAAGGTGAGTTCTCGAGATACCCATTGAATGGCTTATTTATTAAGTAGATGTAGGGCGTGTTTGGTAATGTTTAAATGGTAACTTTTAAGTAAATATGTTTTAAAGTTTAAATTAATTTTTGTATGGTTAAAATTGGAGTGAGGAGGTTGTTTAAGTTTATAGTAAGTTACCTTCAAAATAAGTGACCTTTTTAACGTATAAGAAAAAAGTAAAGGGAAGAGTGAGGAGGTTGCTTATTCTAACTTGTTCGAGTCAAAAAGTTAGCCAAAATGCTCTGCGTCATTATGTTTACGAAATCCATAATTGTTTAACTTGTTTAATTGCCTTTGAGTTCATCACATGATTTTCTTTCTTCTGACTAGAAAATTGAGTTTCTTATGGAGAAGTCCCAGGCCTCTCCTGCATTCAGTTAAAAGAAGTTGGCTGTACCCCAATGGCACCCCTTGGTTACCTAGTCCGAGATAGGAGATGAAAGAAGCAATTGTAGACTTACCGTTTGTACATACAAGACAATTAATGTAGGTCTGAGGATCTCTCTCTCTCTCTCTCTCTCTCTCTCTAACTCCTATGTTACAAGCATTCAGTAGGAAAACCTAGATAGTTGATTTTATCCGATTTGTTGTTATTTTTCTATTGTACGATTTACTCTATTAAACATGTCTGTGTCCATGTTGCTCTATGTTGTTTTACCTATTAGATCATGCTCGGTGTACAGAATATTTTGTCCACTTCCTTGACAGAACAGTCATTGGACTGTTTAAAAAATAGTCAGTTTTTGCAGCCCAATCATATGCTGACACTGCATATGTCAAGTAGGTGGGTAAAAAATTCTGTACAAATTGAATTATCCTTACCTTTTAGAGGTTTTAATTTCTGGCCTCAAAACTGGGAGGGAGGGGTCTAGAGTGGACTGAACTTTTATTGCTATGCTGGGAAAAGTATGCCTCGTCCTCAAAAAATGTTGTAAAAATATGTAGTCACGCAGTTCTCAAAACTTGACATTTTCAGAAAACGTTCACGTGCTATAATTAGCGTGTGGATAAACCTTTTTTGTTCGATTTCCAATGAGATTATTGGATTTCGATTTTCCTCGTGTCTATAGAGAAAATGTGGAATAAGAAGGGCCTTAGTAATTTCCAAAAGAACCACTTATAGTATCCAATTGACAATTGATAGGAGGAAAAACAAAAGAATTTGATAGTTTCTCATGCATCTCTTGCTCGTTTAACTAATTTGAGTGATTGAGTGGACGAAAAAAAATGTGGGCATTAGAATTTAGAAAAATGATTGTTTTCACTATAAGGCAAAAGCATAAAATAAAATTTTTTAATTTATTCCAATCTAGTCTCTATAATATATCCAAATGGCGAAGCAACAGAAATTCTGGGTAAAGGGTGGGCAATGGCGGATCTTAGGGTTTTCTTAAACGCAAGTGTATTTTGGTCCATTTACCTAAAAGATGGCTATATTTGCAAAGTTTTTCAAAAATGGCTTCTCCTTTTTTTTTTTTTTTTAGTCAAAATGCACTTTAAATTATGGCTATATATTCTAATTTCCCAAAAATAATAATAATGAAAGTTATCTTTGAGGATACTTCTTAAATGAATGAAATTTGAATGGATGTGATACGGATTGATGTAGATACAATTATTGAATTAATCTTATTCTTTGATTGATTTAATCATTCAAAGCAATTTATGGAAGAACTCTCTTTAGCCGACCGAATTCGTAAAGTTGTACAAACATTTGATGCATAAGAATGTGGCCTTGAGAAGAGAACAACAATTAAAAATGAATTTTTAATACTCTATAGGCTTAGTAGCAAAATGAGAAAATCAAGTGAAAAAATACATGTGTTAAACTACTAAAGAAGTAATAACCCTTGAAGAGGGTAGAACAAGGTCTAACTGAAAAAGAAGTGAATTATTGATTATCATAGACCCTTATGTCCTCATCCCGATCGTAGATTTACTTATTAATTCAAGAAATTGAGTAATTTTAATATTTTAATTGTACTTTAAGGTGTCTACCTTGATCATTATAACACTTGTGCCATTAACTTTTTTCACTTAATTCTTATTTTCAACCTTTAATTAATTTGCACATCTCGTCCTTAATGATAGTTTCCATTACAATATCCTATTTGTGTGATTTGAATTTCCTTCCTTCCTTTTTTTTTTTTTGAAAGTACAATGCACAAGTAAGCTCCTATTTGATTCATATTCGTTAAACACTAGTTTTTCAAACTCATTTTCAATCACATTCTTCTAATAAAATATTTTTATACGTAAATCTAAAATTTTTCTTACTTTTTAACTATAATTCTCCAAAAAAAATTCATTATTCTAAATTTTATTAACTCAAAAATGGGTATCAAACAAACCTTAAGTTGTTTTACACACAGGCTTCTTGGATGAAAATCTTTATTTAATGAAATGTTGGGAATAAGAATGCGTTGAAACAAAGTTAGGAATACAAGTATTACAATAAGCAAAGAGTTAGACTTCATGTGTAATTAAAATGTGGCATGGCTAATAATAAAAATTGTAGAGCAAATATAATAATCCTTCATGTGTGAAACTGTCTTTTGATGCCCCCATCAACTTTATAAATGAGATAATCAAATAAAATAAGAACTTATAAATTCTAATTACGTATTACTTTGTTTGATCGATAATGCTAAAAATATAGATAGGAGTTAAGGATAACTATGTTATCGAGGATAAAACCAAGCGTACAAATCATTTTTTGACAAAAAATTTCCAAATACTGCGTTGGTAGCATCTAAGTGGTCAATTTTCATTTTTATTTTTTTTTTGCAATCACCAATGAAGGGGCGCCACGTCACCGTCTGTATAAATTCTGTACACGTGTTATAGATGTGAGTGATGCAAAGAGTTGAAAGTTGATTTAATGGTCAAGATAAGGAATGAGAATAATTAATTTATATCTATTAAGAGAAATGCTGACTGCCTGTACAGGCCACACACATTATAAGGGGGTAATTGATTTTTTTAAATAATCCTCCACCCCCTCACACAGCATGTGAGGGACTTGTACATTAAGCATTTTTCATCTATTAAACAGTCAAACTCACATTTTGATTTGACAGGAACGTGATTAGTATGGAAGGCTCAAATAAAACAAGGCTTTTGCCAAACGAACAGGGCCCTGGACGTCCCTGAAGAATAGTCCATAAAACAAATAATTGTAATTCTACCTGTCGGATTGCAATTTTTTAAGAAACTGTTCCTATCATTATGGCTAAATTGTCTCTAAGGGTCCATTTGATTATTAGAATAAAATTTAGATGGAAAAAAAATAAATTTCAAGGAATTGAATTGTTTAAAACTTGTTTTATTGAAAATTGTCAATTAAATATGTTTAATTAGTATAATTTTCTACTTAAAAAATGTTGAAATTTTATATCTTTTAGTGTTTATTTACCTTTGTTTTTATGAAAATTGTCAATTAATTGGATAGATTTTTTTACAAGTGTGAATAAAATTTATTTTCATTGCCAAAAATAAAACAAAATAACTGAAAAACCCATTTTCTCACCAAAACCCAAGGAATTGTAGTTTCCCATTTTTGTGAAAAATAAGAATGAAAAATATACCCGTTATGAGTCTCACATAAGAGATAGAAATTCAAATTTGATGACTTGATGTGATAGATAACAATCATTTTTGTTATTTTAATAGGGAAAGAATGGAAAACAAATGAAGCTGAAATTCCTTCAAAACCAAGAAAATGGCTTCACGTGAGGGAGAAGTGAAATAATAATTCCATGGAAAATTTTGAAAATCAAACACCACAAATTGGGAGGAAAACGGTTCCATGAAAAATGGCTCTATCAAACAGGCCCTAAATGTGTATTTTACAGCATAATTAACAAGATGAGAGACCTTAACTAAAGAGCCTAGAAGCCGTTACTAAGCCTACAGCGCAAGCTGAGCCAACTTAGAAGGCGAAGCCCATGTACAAATTTCTTTCGGGATGAACTTCACATCAATTAATAATAAAACTAAAAATCAACATATAAGAACTTTGATTATTCCTCTTCATAAACTTGACCTTAACATTTTCATGCGATTTCCAATGCTCGTGCCAATGTGAGATTATTGTCAACTCTACATAGAATACGTAATGAATACCTGAAAGAGGTCTACTGCTTCTCTCATGTAGATGTCGAGCTTCTTTCTCAAAATGTAGAATCAGTGCCAACAGTTTATCCAATTTTTTCCCGAATAATGTGAAATCTCTAAACATAATTAATATAAAGGATGTGAACACTAAGCCTCAATATTTACACCACAATAAATAAATAAATAAAAATGAATGTTCGATGCCTGCAAATATTGGGCTAACAGTATACTATTACTGTGAGAGCACAAAGCTTCCTATGCAGATTCTCAATAGGTCCATCTCACAACCATCACTAGTCAAAACCATTTATCGTGCCGAAAATCCAACCAACTTGGACGCTTGAGTCTCTTATAAAGACGCTCCTCATTTTCAACAGAGGAAACAGGTGAAGCTTAACAGCATGTCAATTAGGTTTAATCATAATATTATTTATCCTTAGGCAGGCTTATTAGGTTGAAGAGATCTACTTGAAATTGTTAATCCTCTTTGCTGAGATCAGAGTATTTGAAAGAAGCATGGCTATTGTCATGGGCCCCACTCCTCCGGGAACAGGGGTGATGGCTGAAGCAATCTTGCTTGCTTCCTCATAACAAACATCTCCAACTAGTCGATAGCCTCGAGGGCTTTTAGCATCCTGTCAAATTTGTAATGGACAATATAAGTTATATTCACCTATAGTGGAAGAGGGTAAACAAAATAATGCACTCAAGGGGTAAAGATTGAGGGGAACAATGATTAATACACATTAAAATGGGGTTCAGTAGTAAAAGGTATCAGACCTCGACAGGATTAATACCAACATCAATAACTACAGAGCCGGGCTTGATCCAGCTACCCTTCACCATGTTTGGCTGGCCAACTGCTGAAATAATGATATCTGCTTCTCTCGTGATCTTCTCAGGATTCTTTGTTCTTGAATGGACAATACTGACTGTAGCATCTTCCCTCTACCAGTACATGCAAAATGTTGAAATGGAACTATGTCAAATTGTAGCAAGTACAAGAGTCCCAATGTTTGAGCCTATAAATATTGATATTTAAAAAGATGGCAATGCGCTTATTACTTGCAACAGCAGGGCAGCAGGCATTCCAACGATGTTACTCCTGCCAATAACAACAGCCCTCTGTCCCTTGATATCAACACCATATCTGTGCAACAACTCTATGCATCCTTTTGGTGTACACGGAACAAATAATGGTTCTCTATCTCTCATGGCCAGACGACCAATATTCAGTGGGTGGAATCCATCGACATCTTTTTCAATACAAACAGCATTTAAGACATTCTGTTCATTCATATGCTGGTCCAACATAAAAACAACCGGAATACTGGGTGAGAAATCAAAAGAAAACTGAAACTAGTGAATCTGTCGTGCATAAAAATACTCTTCATTCCCAAAATTTTTACGTCGGGTGAATTTACACTTCTACTCCATTTGGAACCCAAATAATCAGTTTAAAGGTTTCTTTTCTCGTGAAAATCAACGCAAATAAATTTGGCAAACAAATTCCAGAGTAGTTTTGCCTGATAGAATATAAAGAAATTTGATGCTAGAGATGGTTTGAAACAGTCAATTTGATAACTAAAATTTTAGAAAGAAACAAAATGACACAGAGATAAGATGCGCAAGAAGGACAATATTGAAGGGCAATATTCTATTACTTATAGCCCCACATCAAATCAAATCATGTGACCAAAATATTGAAACATATTGCCGATAAAAGACAGTTTTTGCTTAGCTTATGACATATTTAAATGCTCATTTTCTGAATGCTCAAGTAAAATTTGTTATAATAGGACAAAAGCCAAGCATTAAGGCAGATTAATAAGAGAAAACTGGAGTCGATCGAATATTTACTAAATAGAGATGTCATATATTTCTTACTACATGAATCTTTTATTGATCTATTGGTCACATTTTCCCACCACAGAAATTTCAGCTATGAAAGATGATACTCGGGCTTACAGAAGGAAGAGGTAACTGGACAAGGATGCCATGTACAGATGGATCATCATTGAAGCGTGAGATATGCTCAAGCACTTCTTGTTCAGAAGAATCTTCAGGCAAACGCACTTCATATGAATTGATCCCAACAGATTCACATGATTTCTTCTTGTTGCGAACATAAGTTGCAGAATCCTTCCTATCCCCAACAAGAATGACTGCCAATCCAGGAACAACACCTATAGAGTCTTTCATCCTTGATATTTCAACATCTATTTCATCTCTAATTTCTTTGGCAACTGATTTTCCATCAATGACCTTTGCAGAAGCCTCCGTGGTCATTGCAGCTGCAGAATATTCCAGAAGAAGAGGGTAAGAAAAGAAAACCCTAACACCAATTTACTTCTTTTGTAACATGAATGTTTAAACCTTAAACAGACAAAAGTATATCATATGGAATATGTATCAAGTATTCAAAATTTTATTCAAATGAAATATATCGAAAATGAAGTGCCATTACTTGTACTCCAAATACACATACAAACTATTGCAAGCTAGACTTAGCAATTAGGGTTGGAACTCGGCGAACGAAAACTTCAAGATTATATACTGTCTACAGTCAGTTCTTTCCACAATTTAATTCCAACAACCAGTCTCAATTATGCAGCAGCAAAAAACCCAGTGGAATCAATATACTCAATAGAACCTCCGTGTGCACGAGTTCTTTGAGTGTATTAGAAACTATTTGTTTGAAAACGAAACTTGTGCTTATCCAATGGTACACCTATGATAATCAGATTTTTACCAGACTATTACAGTGAGGTAGAGACTTTATTTGCATTTTGCCCCTACACATCATCACATTACTCTCCTGCAGGCTTGACTTCATTAACTGTAGCTCAGAACAATCACCACAGCTAGTAGTTTCTATTAAATTTTTTCATCAAAGACAGAACCTTTTCAACTAGTACACAACTCATAAATCACCCTCCGTGATAACCTCCATTTATAAACACATTTTATAACTTCATCAAATATAACTAATATTTTCATTATAAAAGTTCTTAAACCTAATGGCAATGGATTTTACTTTTTTATTTTTTTTTTAATGACCGTGGGTGTCAGGGCTAGCTATGCGCACCATGATTAATCCCACAGCCTGAAGTTTACAGCCGAATACTCACCTCAGTGCACTGAGTGGACTCCGGTGAGTATTGGGAGCAACTGAGCTACCCTCAAGGTTAATGGCAATAGAAAATTTGGTAATGGGCGTGTTTTACCAGTCAGAAGTGAGGATGAAGAACGTGTGGAGATGACGATGCCACTGGTGCCTCGACTCCTGAAAAGGGCGGAAATGTTCGGAACAGGGCCCACATGGTGGAAGGCTCTGTGAGCCTTACGAGAGCAGTAATCAGGAGTTGAGGTGAATACCGTAACCCTGGCAGCGGCGGAGGATGCCATTTTTCGGCGGAGCGTTTGGGCTTTCTGTCTCAACGCTATGCTTGCTCTTCTTTGATTAAAGGGGAAAATGATGAAAAGCAGCTAGGGTTTTCAGATTGCAGATAAATTAGAATTTGTTGAAATAAATTGGTTCCGTGTATAGGGTTTTATCGAATTTCAGTGATTTGATAGCAACAAATTATAATTATGTGATCAGATTGAGATTTTACTAAAAGTTTAGTGACCAAAAATGAAATTACCTCCTTTACGTATTAACAAAACGAAAGAAATTACGAAAATATTTCAAATTATTGAGGAAACGAGAATATTATTAAGACTGTTTTTGGCCTCCATCAATTTCAAAATACTTTTTTTTTTCTCTTTTTTTAAATAATATACATTCATTCAATAAAATAATATTGCACATAAATTTAAAAATTTTCTTTTTTTTTTAATCACACATTCTTCAAAAAAAAATCACTATTACAAAATACAATTTTTCTCAAAAATTATTTATAATGAAGCATAAACAAGGGATAAAAATAAGGTGCATACTATTATTTTATTGTATTCAATGTTGAAAAGCCAAATCAAAATGCACATGTTATGCCTCTTTTAATAAGATTTCAAATGACCATGTGACAATCTGCTAGTAAGTTCAATCATAGTAACACTCCACGTCACTATCCCACTTGACCTTGTTAGGGTCATACATTGATGTAATCAAAGTTATGCATTGCCTCAATCAAGGTGTTGTGTAGAGACCGACTTCGTGACCTAAGTGAGGTGCTATACCCTGCTGCAACATGAATTCGAGGCAATTAACCTATTATGAGAGAAGGCGTCTTCACTTCATCTCTTCGAAGAGATCTTTCGTACAAGATATTCCTATTATTAATTAATGTGACATCTCTGCAACAAAAATCTCATGGTCTACTTGTCGGTCTATTTTTGAGAGGTCGGACCTAGATTATAAGTAATTACTTTTTGGAAACGTTAAATGCCCCTAAACCTATGATTGATATAGTGAAACCTAGGAGAAGATTTTTTGACACATCAGAGTGAAAACAGGTGTCTTTTCATCAAACAGTAACCATTCCTCATTTTTTATCATAAAAACTCGCACTCAGTGCAAAAAAGGCTAATGCAACATTTACACACTCTTAAGTAATATTGTCCCCTCATTTTTATTTTCTAATCATCCTCGATGACCGTACACTTGTGTGGCACTCGTCTCCTTACGTCTCACACCCAAATATAATCATATAAGTTGACTGACTTGATCGTCGAGGACTTGCGACCACCTCCCCTACCCATTTCGTATAGTATTTGGCATGGTTTAACAACTATGAACTACCCAATACTCATTGATCCCTTTCCCGAACACATACATGTTTCATGTTGTGTGGGTAGTTATAATATCTGACTTTTCCTTTTTTCTATTCTATTCGGAACATTCCAAATGAATTTCTGACAATTCATTTCTATTTCTAGAAAATCCTCAATGGTATGAGGATTTAGAGTAATGAAATAGGGAAATGCAAGTTAAATATACTTACACTGGTGCTCAATTGTTCACTGGTGCTCAATTGTTCGATTTCAAATGAACAAATTCAAACTTGAAAATGATTTTTCTGATTCTCGAAGAATGAGGGGCAAAGGGATTAGTTTGGAGAAGAATTCACACGAATTGAATTTTTTGAGAAACATATGAAGAGAGAATTTTGATTTTCACCCGTTCTTATTAAGAAATCAAAAGAAACTTCAAAAATGGAAGAAAATGTGGAAAGCGAGAAAAGAGCCCTTAACTGCAACAGATGTGGGAGAGGCTAGGTTTAGGGTTGGGCAAATCTCCCGAACCGATCCGAACTTGACGATTCTTGTCAAATTAAATACCCGAACGGGTATCTGAATTGAGAACCGACGGGTACGGTTCGGTTCTCGGTTCTAGACCAAGAACCGAAGAACCGAATCTTTTTTTTTTTTTATATTGAGTAAATCAAATTATTTTAATTTTAACTTTTTCTAAACAAATTAACAAATTAATGATTTCTAAATCCAAATTTTTGGCCCAATAATTTGTTTCATTACTAATTTTTTAATTTTTGGCCCAATTACCCATTTTATTGTTTCATTTCTTACCCAAATAAGATCAAATCCACTAAATAACCCTAAACACCTACAATAAAGTGCATAACGTTGTCTCGACTCTCGCACTCACTCTCGCAGCCTATCTAATATTTCAAAACCTATACAATCGTCGGCCGACACTCTGACCTCCGATCGAAGCCGTGACTTTCCTCGACTGAAGCTTTGATCGTAGCGATCATTTGAACAAGGTAGTTTACTAATCTCTGACATTCCAAAACTATTGAATGTATCATTAGTCGTATTTATATAACATTGTTATAAATGTTAAAAAAATTAATTATAGTACAGAACCGAACGGAACCGAACCGATCCGAACCGAACCGAATGGAACCGAACCCGAATGGTTCTATAATTATATTTGGACCCGACGGTTCCATTTACTAGATACCCGAAAAGTTTGGTTCGGTTCGGTTCTAAAGAGAACCGAACCGACCCGCACCCACCCCTAACTAGGTTAGTTGAAACTGGTTATTGATTCAAGAACGTAAGATGCCCCTTGTGGTTCCGGAGGTTCCAACTACAAGAGAACTAGGAATGGAGAGTTTTCTCCCCTTTCAGCCCAACTCATTGATCTTAAGAATACTGGTTCAAATTTCGATATTTGCACCCTGTCGAAATAAGAAATCATGAAATATATGTTTGGAATAGATTCCATTTTGAGAGAGCACTCATCTTGGGGCGATCTTACTAAGATGCTTTCAACAGTTATCCAATCCACACTTGGCTACCTAACATTTCCTCACAGTTATGGAATAAGACATTAATTTCTCAATAAGATGCATTTTTTTTTATCCTACTACAATAAAACAAAAGAAAATAAATAAGAATTCTTGGCAAACTCCAGCCGTTAAGAAATTACAACCTTCCAAATAGGAACTAGCCCATCCATGGGTATACCATAAAGTTAGTCATTTTCAAATGATATCCACATTGTTTACAAATATTTGTTTTTTATTTTAAAATTTCTTATAAGTTAATCCATAACAATTTTCGCATTGAACCCACAAATGCTTGTATTTTTGAGTTACCATGAGATCATTAGACCATTCTCTTAGAGTTAAAGAGAAAAACTACGTGAATGTGAGTGAAGTCAAGATGTTGTAGTCACGTCACCCATGTAAAAGTTGATGTCAACACCACATCAAAGATAAATATATAATTTGCACAAAATCGATTATAAAAATATATTAAATTGATTAATTTGTCACAATTTTCTACTTGCATTGTGTTTACTTGACATGGATGTCAACATTGTTTTGAGTGTACATTCTGTGTCGTTAGCGGCAAGCTGTGTTACGTTGGTAATTTAATTTATATTTTATTATTTATTAACAATTTTCTTCTTTTAGCCCCAATCTTCACATTTGAAGCTCAAACTATCTACATTTTTGTGTCAACCAACAATTAAATTTGAATAATTTTTGTTGCTAATGAACTACACATCTAGCCTTATTTTCAATACAATTAAAGTCAATGATATAAATTGTTTTTCGTGACTCCATTTATTTCAATTCTATATATTTTTTAACAATATAACATGTCATATTGATAATGTCCATGTTATAAACGACAACCTTTTCAAGTGACGCGTATTTAGCATTTTTGTCATTAAAATATATATAGTTTTAGAGGCTCATGAGATTAAAAATGAGCACTCTAAAAATACGAAAAAGGTAAAATGAAAGTTATGACAATATTTTTAAAAGAAAGCTCCCCGTTTGGTAGTTATTTTTTTCAAAATGTATTTTTCTCTTTCTTCTTTACAATCACACATTCTTTATTAAAATAATATTACACGTATACAAAGTCATGTTTACCTTGTATCCAGATGTCTTGATCCATTTCGAATCCTTGGCATTGGATCATTGATCTTTTTTGTATTTCACTTACTTTTATACTTCCCGAGGATGCCTGGTGTATTTGTTTGTGATATTTGCTTGTGATTTTCTCGAGAATGCCCGGTGTACTTGTACATGAAACGTTTTTGATCAATATATTTACATTTATCGATCAAAAAAAAAATGGAATAGTGAAATCCCAATTAAAATGTCCTTGAAAATTCACAAAGGTGTCAACATGGATCATTGCGCTCAAGTTCATTGTTACCTATAATGGCCAGACTCCTTTCACACACCCGTAACGACTCAACTCATTTCACACCCGCAAACGATTCAACTCATTTCACACATCTAAGTATACCTCAAAACAACTGTGCAGTTCCGGACATAGTTTTCATTTGGAAGGTTCAAATTTTCTTAGACAATGAAAAAAAGAACATAAGGGGCATATCCCGTAACATGATATTCTCTATGCGCAAATCAAAATTAATCCAACATAATCCATTCGATGGATACAGAAAACGAGTATGAGTTGGCCACAACCCATAGTTCTAAAAACAAATTCAATATTGAAAAGAAATATATAACTAAGAGGTTAAGTATCACTCATTTCAAAAATAAAACAAAAGTTTCAAATTTCGAAAATAAGATATTTTTTTAAGATTTATTTATTTTTAATTAATTAATTATAATTATATTAATTGAATATATTAAAGTCACATATCTATACAATTTGATCATAAATTAACGATTTAGTTATTCACATATTATTTTTGGGTCACAAATCAAAATTCTTATATATCACAAATTATTTTATAGGTCACAATTTATTGATAGATCCACAAGTCAAAAATTTATAAGTCACAATTTATTTATCGATCATCAATTACAAATATTATAAATCACAACTTATTATATGTCACAAAATTATCAAATTATCGATAATAAATTAACAATTTTTTAGGTCACATATTAGGGGTGAACGCGGTTCGATCTGGAAAATTTGTGCTATATTTTCAAATTAAACCATTTTATGCGATTTGAAATTTTTCCAAACCAAACAAACTATTTTATTTTTTGAACCAAACCATAATTTGCGTTTGGTTCAATTTTAATTTGCAGTTTATCTATCGACATTATAGTAATATATTTAACATAAGTTAACATAGAAGTTTAAATGTGAACTAATAATGTTAAATGTTAAATTATATTAATATTTACCACGAAATTCATGAATAAATTATTTTCAAAATTGACTGCTAAAAGATTTTAATAAAAAAAAATACATCTTTCTTCATTTTTATTTACATTTTTTTTATTTGACATTTATATTGTCATATAACAGTTGATAAATGTAAAATTACATTATGTCATTATAGTTTGCTTAAAACTCATTTCGTCTTACTAGTAAGATGTTAAATAAGAATTAAACGGGATATATTTAAATGTACAAAGATTGGAATTGACGAATTTCATTCTAACTATTTTATAAAAGTAAAAAGTAGTAGTACTAGTTAGGGAATTTTAACATTTTCACAAAATCAATACGCTCCGTCCTTCATTCTTTTCAAATCACAAACAAATTCATTAACTCTCTAGACATACAAAAAGTTACTTTTCTATCCAAATCACAACTCACAAGTGTATAATAAATTCAAAAATAACAAATAAAATAACAATGAAAAAATAGTTTGAATGAAAATCTGAAACTTACTGAAAGAGAAAAGAGAAAGAGATGATTCATATAGAAATTAGCAGACTAATAGGCAAAAGCGCCTGGATGTTAGTTTAGCAGTGGCAGACAAGCTTCAAATATAAAAGAAATGAGAGTTTATGTTAGGATTTCTGAAACTTTAAACATGATTTGCTGACGTAGTTTTGTTGAATTATGATTTGAATTATTAAAAAATATAGGTTTTTTTCCCCCCCATTTCATATGATTTTGAAATAATTTTAGTTTAGTTTAAATATCTGATGAGGATAAGTATTGTGAACTTGTTAAACCATAGGACAACAATGATGAACCTTATTTACTTTCATGATTATTTCAACATGCTGGTTGTAATTTATATTGCAAAATTGGCATTTTTTTTAAAGTGAAAAATGTAAAAATTTTAAGCTAATAGAATTTATATTTTTAAATAAATATAAACACGGGTTGATTCGGTTTGAAAATCAAAACCTAAACCAAACCCTTTTGAAATTGATTGGTTTGATTTGAGGGGCAAAAAAAAAAAATCATGAGTCCACGTGGACTCAAATCAACGGTTTCAACTCAACGGTTTCGATTCAATTTGTGATTTCGCGATTTTTTGTGTAGCCCTATCGCACATTATTTCTTTATCATAATTTATCTCTTTCATTGATTAATTGGGTCATACATTAACCAATTTATTGATCACAATCAACCAAATCATTTGTGACAACTACCAACACTTATGACTACAACCTCACTTCGATCACCAACCGCATCGCCATCAAAACTGTCATCGCCAAAACCCCCACTCCACCCTCTACTAGACCACCACCGTCGCCACTAGGACCATCACCACCGCCACTGCTAGATGCACTGCCAAATCCACCCCCACCAATTCTAGATCCACCATCAACATCGCCAGAAACACCGCTACCATCTCCTGGCAGCAAAATCGTCGTCTTAAACACAACCAAACCACCACCACTAGCCTACCATTCCACAACCCCAACCCCCACTAAAAAAATTCCCAAACCCCCACTCCACCCTCTACTAGACCACCACCGTCGCCACTAGGACCATCACCACCGCCACTGCTAGATGCACTGCCAAATCCACCCCCACCAACTCTAGATCCACCATCAGCATCGCCAGAACCACCGCTACCATCTCCTAGCAACAAAATCGTCGTCTTAAACACAACCAAACCACCACCACTAGCCTACCACCACAACCCCAACCCCCACTAAAAAAATTCCCAAATCTGCATTTCAACACCATCGTTGTCGTCTCTACATCAACAACTACACCACCACAACAACCATATTATCTCCCGGAACAAACCAACACTACCACCACCCGGACCACCGCTACTACCTCCAAAAAACTGCCATTTTAAACTTCAAAATCATCACCGCCACCAACCACCATTTGCAAATTGAAAACAAGCAAATCGCCAACAACCAACAATCAAAACAACCACAAAACCCCGACTACACAAATCAGATCAGAGGAGGAAGATATCACCCCAAAAAAATCCCAAACCCCCTCCCTAATTTTTCCATGCGGTGCATACATCTGGGCGACGCCGCATTTGGCCATAACAGCACCTCGATGCTATTAACTGATAATGAATGATAGTAGATAGGGATGCCAACATTTGAAGGGGTCGTCAAAGGCGAGCGGATGCTAGGATTTTGAAGGGATCACCGACGGCTGGGACTTTTGGTATGTGAGGGAGGGTGCGCGTATGTTGGATTGGAAGATTATTATGGTTTAGGATTTGGGTGGGGTATGGTTGTTAGTTGGAAAATTGTTATTTATATTTTAAATTTAAAAAAATATATATTATAATATGATTTTTGGAGAAAAGTAGTAGTTAGGTTTCTAGTGTATTGATAATTCTTTAGACAAATAGATTAATGTAAAAGAGTTGTAAAAGTTAAAAAATCTTGTAGAGTTGGTAGTATAGTCCTTGAGAGAATCCAAGATGTTTAAAAGGATCGTTGGAATACAATTAAAAGTCTAAAAGATATCAAAGAACCGTACAAATTATGCTCCAAATTTTCAGTCGTAACTTGCTACGTATATTTATTACCTAGAAAATCCTGCAACATGGAATGCAATAAAACCAGTCATGTGCTACCACAAAAGAGTGCGCAAAAATAATCATCAATTACCAAGAAATTCCATAAGAAGACAGTCCACTAGAGACAACTCTTTTGATAAAATAATTAAGATCTTAATAGGTTAATCATTATAGTTTAAACTTGGTCCAACCACCCTTCCCCAACTCCACCCAACAACAACGAATAACTACCTAAGCTTTATCTCAACAGATTCAGTTGACTACATAAATGTTTATTGTGTTTAATAGTTTTAGTATTAGATTTAAAGCAACTAGATCCTTAACAGTTATTACGCACAACTTTCGTATCGTTCCTATTTGACAAAATTTTGCACTCACTGTCAATTTACTACAACCCTACTTATTTATCCGGGCTTGAGAGTTGAGACGGGCTAAAAAAAGCATATATGTAGTCCCCCCCCCCCCAAACAGCCAACCCCTAACCCACCACCTAATACAAACAAGTACACACAATCACAGCACACCACCACCTATAAAGTAGAGCTCCCAAAGCACCCTATTATCTATGAAAACATAGACCAAAAGGCATGGAGGAAAACGGAAAGAAAGAAAGATCTTTTCGCCATGAAGACTACAACACCAGAAGGGTTTTCTTAAGGAGCTATCCACTTCACCGGGGATTTGAATCCGAGGCCGAGGAAAGCAAAGAAACAGGTCAGGAATACAAAGAAGAGGCTGTAAATGTCAAAACTGGAAAGAAACCAGTCAAGAAGATAATTCTTGCAGTTATCCAATGGGGAGAAGAAAGGGTCATAGTTTTGAGAAGGGTTAAGCATAAGATAGCCATGTATCTTGTCGGCTGCATGCCTGTCAATATCAAGGCTTCTGCTGCTTTGATTTCAATTTGATGTTTTTTTTTTCTCATGCAACTTCTATTATCTAGCATGTACTTCAGTCTCTCATGTGAATAAAAGAATATAATGCTGAGTTGTATAATAATCAGACTGGTAACGTGTAAAAAAAGTAAAAGTTCTTCTAACAGACTAACACTCATGTTATCATTTCAGAAAGGGCTCTTGCTTACTAGCCCCTGTCATTAGAATAATCTCCTCTTTGTTCAGTGTTCACCACGAAAAAAAAAATGATTAATCAACAAGGGAATTTCCTATATGGAAAATATGACCTCTTTATCATACAGGTGACAGTATGTTAATTGCAATTTAATTATTTCCTCTACATGAAATGTTTCTGATACAGCTATCCTTCACAAGATGAGAGTCAGAAGAGGAAGGGTCAATCCAAAGGTCCAAAACTAACATGACCTGTTGTAGATGCTAACAATATGGTTAGATACCACAGACAAATCTAGCAATGAAACAAATGAAGAAAAATGATTCATACAACCGACCCTAAATTTATTGAGAACAAGACTGACTTTGTTGTTGTGTATAATAACATGGTTTTGAAGGTTCATGATTAATATGCTCAATGAGTACATTTCCTTCTATAGGAGCTGTCGGTGCTAACTTCCAGCCAGCAATCCCAACTCGGGAAGGGTTTTGGTTTCAGCTCGAATTGGGGAATGGCAACCTCCTGTTTCCAAAGAGGTTATCATGCCTCTTGTTGTCCTAGAAATGAATTAGCATGAGAGAGGTTAGAGACAGTTGTGTGAAACAGCCTATGATTTAAAGAGGGTTTATGTCAAAGGAATCCACAAGTCATTTATTAGAAAACAAGGATGCAGTCCACATTCAACAGTAAATAACCAAGAACCCTAAAGTTGTGGAGAGATCAAAGGGAGGGCAAGAATTAGTACACTTCTAAATGGTATTAATTCATCCTCCAACTTTTCAGAAGGGATCAACTTACACCCCTATAATTTTTCTTTTTTTGATAGGTAGCACCCCTATAATGAAATACAATTACTTATTTTCCACCTCATACTAAAATGGATAAATAATAAATGAACATTTATGACAAGAAGTAGAGGCAGCACCAGTTGGGACATGTCATGCAGAAACCTAAAGAGACTTCCTTCATAAGAGTGAATTGATCTAGGTAGAACGCTTTAGGAAAGGTAAGGATAGCTTATTTTAGTTGCTAAGCATCATGTTGCTTTAGTTCGTTCAATAGAACTAGCGACCAACTGAAAGAAGTGGCAAAGAAAATGTTATGTAGCCAACTCCAAATTTATTGAGAACAAAGCATAGTTTGCTGTTGTTCACTTGTATCCTCCCACGCACCAGACACGGAAAGATGCTGGCATGAAAAGCAAAAACGTACCTAGAAGTGAGGGAAAAAAATTGTGTAGTGTTTACAAGGATCAGCAGAAATGTCTTTGAATAATCAAAGGAAATTTCGCACTAAAAACATGACAACATACAAGTCACAATAAAGAACACATCTGTGGCATTCAAACAAGTCCACTAATTTTGCTTTCAGCTGCATGAAGCAGTATAAAACAACTACAGGATTGAAATGGTTGTTGGAGTACTTGTAAACAGCTCTCCTCTTAGAAGAAGATTATTGAGACACCCATTGTGAAGCATCCTACAGCCACCCAAGGACTCAATCTCTCGCCTATTCAAGGAATTATATAACAGTGTCAGAATTTCAAAGCATACGTTAAACTTCGAATTTCAAAGCATACGTTAAACTTCATACAAAATTCATATGACAAGCATCAGTTAACCTTCAATGGTCACACATAGATGGAAACTATAGCAATAAATATCATCAATCTTTTTCTTGTTTTTCTATTAACCAAGAAAATTTTAAAACTAAAATAACAAGTGTCCACTATTATTCCAAAATTTAAAACCAAAAAATGTAAGGAACACCTAACTGCCATCAAAGTCTTTCAACCAGCAGCAATTACCCTTAAGTTTTAAATGAACCCCAATAAAACAACTGAGGAATGTTTTGCTCTTCTTAACTGATCATTTTCTCAAGATAAAATTTCAGATGAAAAGTCTTGAACAAAAAAGCAGCCCAAGAAGTTCTAAGAGTACATGAATATATTCATAAATACACAACCAGTTTGCTTTTTCCTGGTGAGAAGTTGAAACAAAGAATGATGTCAGAAACAAGAGCAGGTAAGAGAAAATTAACAAACAGATCAGATAGATTATCTGTTACTTTTTCCAGAATAAATTCAAAAGGGATATATTTTTTCCAGAATAAATTCAAAAAGGATACATTATGAACCATGAATTCCTTCAAGACCAGCATTGTTACATGTAGTGTTCAAGTAAATCGTACCTATTCTAGCAGCCTTCCAGAAGACACCTACAAACCTGCCACATTGGTACTTTTAGCATGAATAAGAACAAGTTTTAATCAAAGAAAAATTGAAATAAAATAAACCTAATACATAAACACAAATAAATATAATGATATGTATAAGAAAGCTAGAGGAACAGAAATAAGCTAACATGGTGCAATTTATTTCTCTGCTGACACTGGGAATTGCATAAATATATCATGATTGCAGAAAATCCACAACCATATCAGTTAGTGCCAAGTGTATGGCTGTAGAGAAAACAAGTCAAGCATACAAGTTTAAACAGAAAATTATATAGGCCCCAGCGATTCTATGAGTCCAGTACAAGCTGTACGATCTTTCTTATTATCCTGATTTGATGCAACTCAACCAGTTGGCAAATTCAGCCCTTGTTTGAGCCCCATTTTTTTCTTGGGGGGCCGGGGGGATATTGGAATAGTGTTTTTTGGAGAATGCGTAGTTAAAAAATAAGAAAAAGAATTTCAATTTACGTGTAAAATTATTTTATTGAAGAATGTGTAGTTGAAAATGAATTTTTTTTTTTTTTAATTTTATTTTATTATTATTATTTTTTTATAAATGAGTTTTTGATAAAATAGGGCTCAAGCAAGGGCCGAGTTTGACAAGTGCCTATTTTAGGGACTCTACCTTTCCTCAAAAGATGAGGCCGTAAGTTAACCCAAAGTCCCAAGGTCTCAGTAAACAAATATCACTGCCATAAATTGGCAGAAGAAATTTGTAAAGGTTTATTTGCACAGTTGGATAAGGCACATATTATACAAAAATAAAAAGATATTATTAGGCATATCATTTTGCATCCCTCCACTTTGATAGGGAAGCGGAAGGGAGAAAAACAATCTAAGCAGATTTTACCTTTTCTGCATGCGTCATGTCCCAATTTGACAAAGGACATGATGTTAATGAGGTGGTAATGGTTTAGTCCTGTTCATTTAGACCAACCAGGATAAATCTATCTGCCCTCTTTCAAATCATATTACAGAAACAAAAACAAATGAAAAAAAGGTTTTTAAGATCACATTCTCACATCTTACTTGAAAAACTTACCCAAAGGCTTGTTTGTCAGAGATTCTTTTAAAATCATTTTCAATCACACATTCTCAAAAAAAAAAAAAAAACATTTTTTGGTTGGAAAAATATGTGCCAAGCAAGCTTTAAGTTCTATCTTACACTCAACTAAAAGTATAGATGATATATATGGGACAAAAAGACTTCCAGGTGATTGCATTTAAAGTGCTACTGTTTTATTAGCGAGACCGAGCCTTTCAAATGTGATTAAGCTATATCTTACTAACTCCCCGTTTGTTTCTCATTAATGTAATAATGAGAATGAAAAATATAGCTGTTACGGATCCCACATAAGAGATAGAAATTCAAATATGATGGCTTGATATGATGGATAACGGTCATATTTTTCATTTTAATAACCAAATAATGGGAAACAAATAGGAGCTAAATTTATCATTACATACTGTCTTTACACAGCTACAACTATTTCGTACAATATTTGCGAAGATGTGATGAATGTGTTAAAATTACACTCAAAACCACAAAACGGAAGTTCATAACCTTCCATCTATTCCATCATTAAAATTTGAGGACTTGTGAACTTTATTATAACTTCCCCCATCCGTGGATTCCATACTTAGGAAGAAGCTCAAATTATTGAGCTCTAGCGTAATTTATCATCCTCAATTCAACAAGTTGAGCTTATAAGCACATTAGTCAAGCTTCAAATATGTTTCATTTATGCAAATAATCTGCACCTTCAATTAAAAAATGGATAATACCTTATAGGAAGGTAGCCAAGTGGGGTTGGTTTACAAAGCTTGGATGATGGCAGATATAGCTGCAATGGTGATTTTAGTGGCTATACTTGCAGAGTTGTGGTCCTTAACCATAAGTTAAGGGAGAGAGGAAGGTCTGTAGCGGTAGTAGAAGCTATCAAAAGAGAAATTGGTAAATGGTGGAAATCTTGCAACAACATGGATAGATGTTTATGTGATTGGGAAAAAAGAAGGTGGCAAGTGTTTTTCTCTAATAGGCGTGATCATTTTAACTTACTCCTCTTTCCTTAGTTGAGCCTAAAGATAGCAATTTAAGAGAAATAACCCAAGTGATCGTAAACATGCTAGTCAATTTAGTGGCCTGATGGTTCAGATATTAACCTTTTCCTTAGTCATCATAAAAGCTTCTTAGCTTGAGAAATACCTCAAAACGTATATATCTGAGTATAGCTTGCTTAACTACTGGAGTCAGTTAGAATGCTATACCATATAATGATCACGTTGACTAGCATTCTATATTTGAACATATGTTGCAACATAGTATGTTAACGAAACCAAGTTGAACAATATGAAAACTTATCTTTGGTTAAATTAATTGATCTACAAAAGCATTTGTTGATGAAGTAGAGATTGCAAAACGTCTATAAATCCGTATGAAATTTTCACTAGATCATTAAATGAGAACAGACAATCAATCTAGTGTTCAATTATCAATTTCTGACACAAAACTTTCGAGCATTCAGAAATCAGATTCCCAGCCATCGAGAAATTCAATCATATTAATGATCAAAAAATCAATGATATACAAAACTGGTTTAAAGAATTAATATTTTGCACATTATGGGACCATATACCAAAAAGACATACCCAGTTCTCTGCTCAAGAAGAGCTGGAAATTGCATCTTCAAATAAGTGCAGGTACAGATGCCTAACAACACCACTGTGAGGAAAGAGTGGAAATTGAAGAGAGCTGACTGAAAAGACAATTTGGAAATTATCAAAACTCACTTCTAATCCAGAAAAAAATGTAGCAATTAACTTTATAACAATGTCTATAAAGCGAAATTGTCTTACCATGTTTAAATTATCCCTGTTTTAATAATTTCTGCCTTCGGGTGTGTCTTCAACCAAAAGAAGAATTTTTAACTACCCGATTAACTAAACAAAAAGAGAAATATGAGGGCATGATTTCAATTACATGACAGGAAAATAGTTCAAAATAATGAAAGAGGATTAAATAAGGGAACTTACAAATTTTACAACAAAAATTCAGCAAGAATTTTTAATAAAGTCACAAAGGACAAAAAGAAACGTAAATTACAATCACCAATTGCACTAATTTTTACATGAGATTTGAAACTAATACATTTTTTTTTCCTTTTTCAAATAAAAATTAAAGCGAGCACAAATCAATAATATGGATTGATCCACCAATAACACATATATCAGCAAAATGAAAAACAAGTAAATATAAATCTTGTGCACTAAAAATGGTACTTGACCATAAAATCAATCCTGAAAGCAATAAATAAATAAATCAGATGCAGAATTCTGAAGATGCAAAGTGATTTTTAATTATTCCTTTATTTACAATTCCTAAGGGGAAGAAGGAAGTGATTACCGGAAAATAAAGCGAGAAATCTGACTGTATAGAACGAAGTCTTCTTGGAGCTCGGAATTTCACAACAGTTAACTGGTCTCTATGGAAAGTTGGAAACGAAAGGGTATGGCATTTGGGAATTTTCAAAAATAGCCTGAAATACAGGGAAACTCAGGCCAGACTCCCAAGTCCGGTCTTTTAAAAAGTTATTTGCGTAATGACTATAAAACATTATTACATTTAAATATTATTATGTAAAACGTCGCTATCTTTTATTTTTTTAATATTTTCACCCTCATTTCAATATTTCATTGTAGAAAATATCATTTTCATCATTTTTTAGTATAGCTCATGTTTGAGCCACATTATTAAAAAAAATGTATTATCCAGGTCAAATTAATGAGAAATACGTGGTTAAAAAATAAGAAAAAGTTTTAAATTTATGTGTAATATTATTTTATTGAAGAATATGTGGTTAAAATGATATTAAATCACTATTAAAAAATGATTTTTTTTAAAAATAATGTGGCTTAAACTAGCCTATAAAATGACCAAAATACCTTTCCATTTAAATAAAACCAAAAAAAGAAAAGAATAAATTACCACCTTACTCCTAAATATTTTAAAAAGTGTAAGTGAGTCCAAATAATTATTAAAATGTCTAATAGTACAAAACGTTCATACGTTTGGCCTATAGTGTACAAAACGTCCATACTTTTCAAATTGGTGAAAATGACGTTTTTAGCAATGAAACGTAGAAATATGAATAAAAATGCAAAAACAATTGAAACATGTGGACTTTTTTCACAAGAAGTGTAAAAAGTAGGGAAGTTTTGTGCTATTAAGCCTTATTAAAATATTAAAAATAACAAAAAAAAAAAAAACTCTCTCTCTCTTCTTCTCCAAATGGGACCACCACATTAGAAGGGAAAAAACTCCAACCAACCATTGTCCAAACCGTCAAACCTCCATATCTCTGAACCGTCAATTAATATTTTAAGACCATGAAGGGAGAGGCGTCCGGGTGAGTATAGTTGATTGACGTGTTGGAAATTGTATGAATTTTTTCGAAACAGGTGATGCCGGCAGTATTTACATTCGCGAGTTGAATATTTTGGTTTGCAATTTCAAACAAATCTATTAGCATAAAGATTTCAATGTTGGGTGTTGGTTGGTATGTGTAGAGGGAAGTGATAACTTTTCAGTGATATGGTGGTCTAGCAGTTTGGGTGGTGGTTTGCTGGAGTTTTTTTTGTTTTTGAGGTGACTGATCCATTTTGAGAAGAGAGAAAAGAGAAAGAGAGTTTTTTTTTTAAATATTTTAATAAGACTTAATAGCAAAAAAATTTCCTACGTTTGATACTTCTTGAGGAAAACGTCCATACGTTTCAATCTTTTTGCATTTTCATTCCTATTTTCATGTTTCATGGGGAAAAATGTCATTTTCACCAATTTGAAACATAAGGACATTTTGTACATGATGGGTCAAACGTAGGGACGTTTTGTACTATTAGGCCTTTTAATAATTATTTGAACTCATATGCATTTTTTAAAACATTTAGGAGTAGGATTGTAATTTATTATTTATTTTTCTTTTCTTTTTTTGTTTTATTTAAATTGGAGAGTATTTTGGTCATTCTATATTTAAAAATAGTGAAAAGGTTTCTGCAATAAAATGTTAAAAAAAGGGCGAAAATGTCAGAAAATAAAATGTAGGGACGTTTTGCACAATAACATTGAAAGGTAAGAACCTTTTGTGCTAATTACCCAAGTTATTTTGAACCTTTTGTGCTAATTACCCAAGTTATTTTGAAGTTTTAAGTTTTGTATCTATTTAAGCCCCAGTTTGAAAATCATATTTTTTTTTGTAAAAAGGAGTATTTTTAAAAGAATATGTGGTTAAAAAATATGAAATTTTTTTGAGTTTGTAAAATATTTTACAATGTAAATGGAGAGTTGAAAATAAGTATGTTAAAAAAAAGTTTAAAATGTATGATTGTCAAACAGGGGATAAATATCTGGATTCAAGTAACTTATACGAAATTAAAATTGTATGCGACTTTAAAGGAACTTAACGTTTGTCGGTAAAGTTATCAAAATATGATTTAAAACCCAAAATTAGAAATTGAACTCGACTTTCACAGGTAATTTTAACTTCATGGACACTAAATAAAATATTAGGAAACATCAACACTATTTTAATCAAAGTGGACCTTCATTTTTCTTCCGCTTACGCTAAATCAACACAATGTCGATTTGGTGCCAGGGCGGATGGAGAGAGGGTCTGGACTTGGCTATAGCCTAGCCCAGCCCCAACCCATAAGCAGATTGGTACCTGAAAAATGAAAATTTTGGTCCAAATTCATTATGAAATCAAAAGAAATAAAAATTTAGCCTAGTCTAAAAATTATTTTTAATCCAATTAACCCCATTTTTCAATTCCATACCAACAATTAATTATTCAAATTTAGTGTGTATTTGAGCTACATTATTTTGAATGAATGTATTTTAGAATAGTAGATTGATGAAAAATCTGTGGTTAAAAAATAAGGAAAAATGTTTTAGCGTGTAATATTATCTTATTAAAGAATTGTATTGAAATGATTTATGTGGCACACCATTTAATTAATGAATTAGTAAGTATTGGTGACATGTCACACTATTTAATTAATGAATTATCATCAATTAAATGGTGTACCACATCACTGATGCTTAACATATATAAGCTAAGCACGAGTGTTTAGGAGTTCATTTTCGTGTGTACAGTGTATATATATGTATATATTTTTAAAAAATCACTTATAATCAAATTAATTTATTATAGAACAAATATTTTTTATTTATTAAAGTAAAGATAAATGAAATATATATATTTTTTCTTTTGATGAGGTATTCGAATTTCGCTTGATTAATGTTGAGGAGTGATGGCCTCCCCCCTGGTTCGTCATTCAAGTAAATCCAAATGCGATCACACATTATACACACTTAAAAGATAAATGACATATTTTAACATTATGAGATATCATATTTTTAACTAAGTTTAAAAGTAATTAAATTTTTCCTTATGTATCTTTTCATATATTACTTAGCCCCTGTTTGTTTCCCATTCTTTCCTCATTAAAATGAAAAATATGACCGTTATCCATTATCTCAAGCCACTAAATTTGAATTTTTTTTTTTTTGTGTGTGACCTTGACGACTATAATTTTCATTTTCATTCTTACAAAAAGGGGAAACAAACGGGGCCTTATTTAGACTTGTTAATTAAAATTTTATTTATTTTAATCATGGAATTGATATTATTATCAAAATAAGTAATATGCTCTATATTTAGAGGGTGTTTGAGCCTCATTTGTATGAAAAATGTATTTTCGAATAATAGATTGATGGAAAATGTATGGTTGAAAAAAATTTAAATTTATGTGTAATATTATTTTAATAAAGAATGTGTGGTTAAAAAGAAAAGAGATAAAAATGTATTTTGAAAAAAATGGGAATCAAACAAAGTCTTAATTTTATTAGTAAAAAAAAAAATACATTTGTTAGAACCTTTTCATGAGTGCCCAAAAATTATTTTGACTCACTTTGTCACGAACATCCTGAGTTTAACTTTTTAAATTAAGTCCATGTTTGGTGCTAATTTTTTAAGCCAAAAAATCAATTTTTTGATCGTTACTTGACATAGTTAGCTATCTTTTTTTACCTATTCACTCATAGGTGGGACCCATCTTTCAAGCCAACGATCAAAAAAATGATTTTCAAAATTAGCACCAAACAAGGTTTAAATCTCGTGAATATAGAGCATTTTTTATGATATGAATTTGTTGAAAAAATTTAAACTCTAGCCAACACTAACAAATCTTTCTTACTCTATCCCTGAGTTGGTTTCGAGTACGGATGGGGAGAGTAGCTAAAGCATAGAGACATTGCCATGGTGGATAAGCATGGGACACAATCATCGTAGGGAGACGATACATCAAATTGATAAGTTTTCCAAATAGCCTTCCCTAATGTTTGAGATGAAAATTGTCTAGCAACTAATTTTTTATTTTTAGTTAAAATGCATTATTTCAAATAGACACAAAGAGAGTGATTTAAAAAAATTTAATATGAGCAAAATAATGAATATTTCTTTAGCAGGATAGATGCAAGGAAACTATCTTCTAAAGTGAAATGTTCTTGTATCATACATACCACAACTTCGATAACCTTTTATAACCTTTTATCCTGAACTTAGGATTCAGAGTTTAGATTTAAACGTATTCTCTTAAGATCAAATAAATATGCAATTTATGGACCCAATTTTTTTTTATGAAATTTGTAACCTCGATAAATATTATTTATAAAATTTGAGCATATATTTGGTCTCAAATTTCAAATATTTTCAATTACATATTTTATGGGATATACATATTTTATTATTTTTTTCAATTACACATCTCATCAAATTTGATCAAAATCTACTTAAAATTTGATTTTTAACCAAACCAAACAGGGACATAATTGATTTAGCCCCTATTTTGCAGAGATCAAATCTAAATTTTAATCTAAATCATAGTCAATAATTAATCTTAACCACATTTTCACGATATCCACAACTTTTCAACAATACATTCATTTAACTATTATCAAAATTTCTAAAAATCAGATTTTAATCTTCTCCTAAACATGGGCTTAATATAAAAATAATATGATTGTACTTGAATGGATGAATTCGAAATATAAATGAATGAAGAACTATTTAACTTGATTGTGAAGTAAAGTTAGTCTCGTTTAGCCTATTTTAAAATATTCATTTTCTTCCAAATTCAAATTTAACATCAAATTTCACGAGATCTATAATTCTCATCTACTTTTCAATTGCACATTTCATAAGTTTTTATTAAAAATTACTAAAAATGTGATGTCATCTATACCAAACATGACTTAGTTTCAACAATTTAGCCAACCAAAGTTTACGGCATGCACATATAGCAATATTTAAAATGTTTTGTGTTTTTATTTTAAAAAAAAATGATATTGTCAATAGTTAAGTGAGCATATCCAATGAATTATCTAAATATAAAATATATTTTATTTTCAAGAGCTAAAAGCATCTCAAAAAAAAAAAAAAAAAACTCTTTAAATATAAAATATCTCTATTTTAAAGAGTCAACCATTTATATTATACTCTAAGAGACTCTTCAATTTAAAATTTAAAAAT